CCCCAAACAATAAACTTTAATCTCATCAAAATAACTGTTTCTCCATAATTCGATCCTGAAATATGATATGTTAAGATACATATGTTTTTTCAACAGGATTAGGTAGAAAAAGTGGGACAAATAATTATTTTTCTATCTTCTTCAAAGAAGATCAGGTTTAAAATATCTTAATCTATTAGAAGATTTGAGTGCTGGGTAAGGCCGTGCAAGGAAAACACATTTTCAATTCGAGGAAATTTTAAAAAAGATTATTTGAAAAAATAAAACTTTTTAATTATCTAACATTTTTTAAAGATAAAAATCCAAATATAAAACTCCGCCTATTGCCATATAGATGTTTGTAAAAATATTAAACTTATGGAGAAAAAAAAATTATGAAAAACGTGAAAAAACAAAAATTATCATTATTTTGTAAATTAAAGCTCATTGTCACTTTCCAAAAATTGCATTAATAAGTTCTCGAAATATTGATTTTGAGAGTCCACAAAGATTTAAGTTCTCCATTTTTTTAATAATCCTTGGCTTTAACACATAAACAAACCATTGAAAGGTTGAAATAGTAAAATATTAGTTCGGCATTTCATATCATAAATATCCTGTAGTCCCATTAGTCTGTTTATCTATCTTTCTATCTATCTACCTGGACCCATTAGTTTGTGTATATCGACGTTTGTTGATAAACAAACCTCATTCATTCAAGGGAGGGTGTAGTCCTTTTTTATCATCCAGCCAAAAGTCCCCCCCCCTCTTCTCATTATCCTTCACCGCCTAGTATTCCAATCCAATCCCCTTCAACCTTCTTTAATCTTCTCCAGTCCCCTTCAACCTTCTTTAATATCCTCCAGTCCCCTTCAACCTTCTTTAGTATCCTCCAGTCCCTTTCAACCTTCTTTAATCTCCTCCAGTCCCCTTCAACCTTCCTTAATATCCTCCAGTCCCCTTCAACCTTTTTTAGTATCCTCCAGTCCCTTTGAACCTTCTTAAATCTTCTCCAGTCCCCTTCAACCTTCTTTAATATCCTCCAGTCCCATTCAACCTCCTTTAATCTCCTCCAGTCCCCTTCAACCTCCTTTAATCTCCTCCAGTCCCCTTCAACCTCCTTTAATCTCCTCCAGTCCCCTTCAACCTCCTTTAATCTCCTCCAGTCCCCTTCAACCTCCTTTAATCTCCTCCAGTCCCCTTCAACCTCCTTTAATCTCCTCCAGTCCCCTTCAACCTCCTTTAATCTCCTCCAGTCCCCTTCAACCTCCTTNGGGGGTAAAGTGATCCAAGGGTTGCACTTGCAAGCAATCACGCAAATATGGACGAATTGTTACCTAAAGTGAAACGTGTCTAGGATTTCAGAAAAGTCTAATTTAGTAATTAAAGTAAAGTCAGAGGCCAAGGCATTGTGAAACTTTAAACTCATTACGTAGTCTTAAAAATGATGAACATTTTATAGCAGTCTGAATCTATGTGGGGCACTATATATGGGGTTTAAGTATAGTTGGAGAAAAGTGGGTGTAAGGTGGAGAGAGAGGGTTGAAAGATTAAAAAATGACGATCAGAGGAAGGAGAAGAGGGAGGAACATTAGGGGTGTAGGGATAGATCTTTTTTGTTTTTTAAAAGTTTAAAACGAGTGGTTCGTTTGTTGTGACCCATCGTTTGTTCTAAAAATGATACGATCGTTTTCTATGGCCATTTGCTCTAGTTCCCTAAAATCTATCACGTCATAGAAAAAATAGTTAATAGAGCAAATGTCGTGGGGGGTCGTAAGATTGTCTGATTGG